GGTTTAATGGAAGAGAGAGATTCCAATACAATAGTTGTTGGGGTTTTCAACACTGCACTTTTAGCAATGAACAGATCATACAGACAGAAAATCAACAAAGAAACATCAGAGTTAATTTTCACCCTAGGCCAATTGGAACTAACAGACATTTATAGAACATTCTATCCAACAGCTGCAGAATACACATTTTTGTCAGCAGTACATGGAACATTCCCTAGAATAGACCATATGCTAAGTCACAAAACAAACAAGTCTTAATTAATTTAAAAAAAAATTGAAATCATATCAATTATTTTTTCCAACCACAACAAATAATGAAGAAACATTGGAAACTGTACAAGGAAATTAATCAATGGGTTAAAAAGAAATTTAAATGGAACTTAAAAAGTTCCTGGAGACAAATGACAATGAAAACACAACATACCAGAACCTATGGGATACAGCAAAACTAGTTCTTAGAGGAAATATCACAGCAATAAATGCCTACATCAAAATAGTAGAAAGACTTCAAATAATCTAACATTACACCTCAAGCAACTAGAAAAACAAGAACAAACCAAATCTAAAATTAGTAGAAGTAGAGAAATTACAAAGATCAGTGCAGAAATAAATGAATTAGAGATTAAAACACAATACAAAAAGCCAGTGAAACAAAGAGTTAGTTTTTTTGGAAAGATAAATGAAATTGATAAACCTTTAGCTAGACTAAGAACAAAAAAAGGAGACTCAAAGAGAAAGACCAATAAATTAGTATATATAAAACAAACAGACAAAAAAACTTCTGGATTACCAAAGATAATATAGCTGAAAAGACAAACTGCAAACCAGGAAAAAATTTTGTAATGAATATAACTGAGAAAGGATTAGTATTCAGGAGGGAAGTAAAGTGAGAAGTCTTTACACATTCTCCAGTTTTATCAATAACAGAGACCTCTAAATATAGCTGATAATATATCGGGCACATATATTCCCAAATGGGCTTCAATGTCTTCTATTAAGAAACTAGAGTGAAGAGAAATGATTAATTAAGACCTTTCCAAAACTCCAAAGATATTTGGCAATAAATTTTCTAAAATTGGGATTGCTGGGTTCTATTTGACATGGTGAAATACATTGCTAAACTTCCCTCCAGAAAGACAGTGCCAAATAAGTCTCCCATCAACATCATACAAAGGGCCCATTTCTTTAAACTCCAATCTAGTTTGGATTTTGTCCACAATTTTAGCATCAATTAATCTCATGAAAAACTTTTCTATATTGTGTATTTGCTGGCATCTTCCTTAGATCAGATGCCTCTTTAAGATCCTCTATTGGTTGCTTTTTAAAAATTAATTTATGACCTTTATGTGTACTTACGAATATTAATCTTTTAAATTAGCAATAAATTTTTTAAAAAGCATTTTGTTACCTGACATTCAATTATATTTTGGTGAGAGGAGGAAATTAGCTTACTTTTTTTTTCTCATTTGCACACCTGTCTTTGTTGACATGTTCTAGAATAATTGTTTCAGCCTATTATCATCATATTACATTTTAATTTCATTGAAAATAAGTCCCATGCTTATTGCAAGGCTTTTTATATCACAGTTTCTCACTGGAAGTTTTGTTGTTATTGTTTTAGGTTCAACAATGAATTGATTCATTTTTCAGCTGGGTTATAAAGTAGATTTTTCAATTACAGCACATGGATATCATATTTTTGCGGGTTGCTGCATATACTACAATGTCTATTGTCTACGTAACTAAAGAACAACTCAAATCAATATTTTACTCTGAATCATATTCTTTTAACTCCCTAAATGTTGGTTACTTGTCATTCCACTGATTTCTGTTGCCTAACTTTGTTCTACATTAGTTTTATTCTTTACCTTTAGTTCCTTGCCTTAGTTCTAAAAGCTTCTTATTTACATATTTCATCGTCTCTTCTTTAATCTCTGGTTTTGTGGAATTGGTGCCCTCTTTAATCATCAGATTTTGCCTGTTTCTTCTGTTTCTAGCAGTTAGTTGTCCTTCTACGTGTACTCTTCATCCGCCATCTGTTATTTTAATTAAATATTTGACCTGAATATTTGCATATGTTCTTCACTTTTCAGTTTTGTTTTTCAATGTTTATTTGTGTTTAAATGAAGAACTACTCGCCTAAGAATATTTGGAGAAATCTCTTTGACCTCCCTCTTTATTTGCATATGTTCTTCACTTTTCAGTTTTGTTTTTCAATGTTTATTTGTGTTTAAATGAAGGCAACTACTCGCCTAAGAATATTTTGGAGAAATCTCTTTGACCTCCCTCTTTCTTTGCTCATGCCCATACCCCATCCAGCACTTTCCCTAGTATCATTTGAATCTTGACCTTCAACTTGAACCACAGGGCTAAGTATTAATCATTTCTATTCTTTGTTCAGTCATTTTATTCCAAAGGAGATAGTACAGGGAGGCATTTGGAACAGGATACTGCTGTAACTTGGATGCAAAGTTTTCATATATTTTGCTGGCATATTTGTAAACCCTTTCTGTATACATAAGGGGAGATGAAATGGGGAAGAGGAAAGAGATGGCCAGAGCCATAGTGTGAGAAAATACAGGAAAACAGAAAGATTCTAACTGTGTTTTAGAAAGTTTTGCCGTAGTGATAAGTGATGCACCTATCTACTTTGTCTTTCCAGAAATTTCAGTAAATATATTACATTATTCTTGCATGTTCTTGAAACTGGAATGCAATTTTACTTCATCAACATAACATGCAGAAATAATCACAAGGCAAGAGCTAAACAGCTCATGGAGGCCCAGTTATACATAGATTATTAAAGATGTCTCTGTTATTTCTGTGTTTATGTGGTCATTTTCAATTTTGTCCCTATCTTTTTTTAAAAGAGGATTCGGGGTAGATCTGTAAATAAATCAGGGTTACATGAAAACACTTACGATTGATAGAAGCTAGGAGATCATGAGAAATGTATCCAGACATCTAACTTTTCTTAAAGTACATTCCAGAAATATGTTTTAATGATACCTTAATGTTTCATTTGGTTGACTGCTTTCATGGAGACAATTTTTAATTTTAAAAGGTAGGGAAATGTGCTGATCTCTCACAATTTATTTAAATAGATTTATAACTTTGTAGACTCTATGATTTTCCCATAACTCTGTCACTTGGTGACAGGATACCTAAACTATATTTCAGTCATTTGAAAAGTATATAATCCCGATTTATAATAACACTATTTTAAATAGAAAGTGAGTGAGTGATTGCAAATATTTTAGGATTACTGTTACAAAAATCATATAAAGAACCTCAAGAAAATTACAAAGAAATGGCTCCTAACTTAACACTGATGTGATGTCCTAAAATTTGAGATTACCTCAGGTGATTTCTATATTAACGAGACAATTTAAAAGGTCAGTGTGCTATTGAACCTGGATGTTTTTACATTAACTTCTGCAACACCTTTTGTGTCATTTATTTTGTCCTAGACCTTACCTCCTAAAGATTAAAAGTATTTTCAGAATTTAGATATTTAACAACAAAAGAGAGCTAAAATTTTTTTAAATTGTCACACAAAGTATGATACATGACACAACTTATTATGTGCTAAGAAATAATTCTAAAAAACATTTGTTTGCAAACCCTTTTATTTCATATTAATTATATTTAATATCTTTTACTAAATATTTAATACAAATAAATTGTAAACTGTATTAAATATCTGTTATTTGCATTGTATTACTTTGCCTAGTATTTAATAATTATTTTTTTGCATAGCAATGACCAATAACATTTGGGGTTACCTAGAAATGGAAAATAATATTTTACATAAGGATATAAGTAATCAGTGGTATTAACACAATGAATGCAGTTTACACAATTCTCATACTAAGAATCAGAATTTCCAATGAACACTGATTTCCATAAAAATGGTAACATCATCATGAAATACTTGTTTAAAATCTGTGAAATTTTTAATTCACAACTCATACTTGTAAAAATGCAAATAGTAAGCAGTATGTACAAATCACAGATTGTCTGTTTGTAGCAGAGTTTTCAAGCTCTGGGGGTGAAGAACATCTTGGGAAAAGGCCTGTCAGTGTTATGTGCCTGCTCCTGATAAGCCTTTTCTTCCCAGATTTCTCTCCCAGCCGATACATCTATCACAGTTCCTTCTCAGTAGTAAGCCATTTCTATTCCATCATATTTGTAAGATTTATCAATGATAACCAATGACAGAGTCATTTCCTGTTTGTCCATTACGGTCCACAACACCTTGCTTGTGTCCTGAGGGCTGGCTTGCAGAGACCTGACACCAGGATACTCCAGTCCAGCACATGACATCATCCCTTTTTCTCCACACATCATGGCCAGTCAGGCTTCCATTTTTAAAGTGAGATATTTTTTAAATGGATGATTACTAAAAATATCTTTTAGGAAATTCTGTTGCTGGCTCTATCTGACTAAAGTTCTAAATAAATGATCTACAGTAAAAATAAATGGCTAGAATTACTGCCTATAAATTCTTAAGCAATATGTATTCAATCAGAGTACTTAGTATGGCTTCATTTCCAATAAAAATCACAGAGGATGGCTACTATTTAGATTTTCCAGAATAATAAAATGTATTGATTATTAATATTACAGAAATCACAACGTACTCTTCTTATTATGAAGCAGAAGGCCCTTTAGTTTCTCATGTATATTGACAGTTTTATGAATGAAAGAGAAAAGTAAATGATGGCATACGCTAGAGGCTGCTTTTGACAAGAAATCCCTACTTTTGATTAATATTAACAAGTTGGTTTGCAATGTATTTCATCCTTAAAGAAGACTACTGAGCAGTGCAAAAATCAATTATTTGAGTATTTTTGTGTTCCAGAGTCTGCATGTATTTCAGTGTACAATATAATAACAAATATTTTGAAAAAGAAGTTTAAAATACGTAATAAAAAATCACGGCCATTTATGGATGCAGAACTAGAGCTATTCTGTATTTGTAATACTGAAGTGCTTACTCTTGAACTCCACCTGCGTCCTCTGCTTGCAAATCAGTGATTTGGGCAACTGAAAGAAAATCTGGAGACAGAATCTTCTCATGCTCCTGGAATTCAGCATCTCTCTACCCAAAAGAAAAGGTGGAATGAGTTATTTCAATTATGTATTTTACATACAAAACCTAATGATATAAAAGTTTGTCCTTTCTGTGGTCTAGTTGCTGTCAGCAAAAATTTTCAAAACAACAGTCTCCTAGATAATCATTTTTCTTTTCCAGTTTTATGTAATGGTATCTCTACTCTGAGAAGTCAAATGGCTAGTCAATCTATCTTTTGGACATATGTAAAAAAATCAACAAATATTTATTGAATATCTACAGATTCGTCATTGAACTTGGGGCTCAAGGGGAAGCAAAGACAAAAAAGAAAGACTTGCTAACCTCAAAAAGCTTATTATCTGTGAGAGAAATAAACCAAGGATGACTTTTAAGTAGAAAAGAACATGATAAATGAGTCATAATAAATGTGGCATTCAGTGTAAAAGAAGGGACATGGCCAGAGACAGGACGAGGAATGTCTATAGAGAGGAGGTCCAGGAATGGGCCTCGCAGGATTGGGTGTACATAATGCCCTAAGAGAACAAATCTGCACCAGCAAGGTTATGAAGGCAGGACTGTTAGGGACTGGTTCTTCAAATATCAAGCAGTTTGCAATGGTGCCTAGGGTACACGCAGGGAATTCGTTGGACTTAGGTGGGAAGTGGGTATTGGGAACATACGTGAAAAATCTTAAATTTAATAATTCAACGGATATTTACTGAGTGCTGACAAGGTGCAAGATAATGTGCAAGGGACCATGAATATTTTAGACCCTGGCTGGTTGAAGAATGACAGGCTGAGGAGTTTGTTTTTAATAATATAGGCAGTAGGGAACCCATGAAGCTTTTGAGCAGTGAAATACAAGATAAAATTTTGCTTTAAGGAAGGGTAATCTGTAGCAGGGTGAAGGAAAGACAGGAGCAGAGAAAGGACATAGAAAGAGTTAAAAGAAGAGGTGGTAAAGACAATTCGGGGGTGAAGCAGCACTGGGCTGCATTGGCCTCCTGGCAGGGTGGATGGAAAAAAAAAGGGGGTGAATACAATGATATTATGAGGAACTGAAAAAGGGAAGTAAGAATGGAGATTCTGCTTCTGAAACAGGTGACCTGGAAAAAACGGTGGTGATATTCAGGGCCTCCAAATAAGACACAGGCCACCTGTGTGTGAATTAGAGAGAGGCATCCTCTTTGGGTGGAGGAAGTGCTTCAAGGCTTTCCCAAGGCTGACACAGCCCTGCCCCCAAGTGCATGGTGTGTGAATAGGGTATGGTTTCAGCTCCCACTCACCTCCCAGCCAAGTGCTTTTGTTAGAGCACAGTCTGCACCACTGTACACGGCACCCTGTGACACCAATAGTAGTAGGGCTGCTGGAAGATGATGCTAGTTTTAAAAATGCGAGATGATGAGTTTCATTTCAGAGGTTGAGTTTAACGTGGAATATGCACAGCAAGGAAGAAATGATTAGAGGTTAATTAGAAATGCTGGAGTCAGAAAGGTCAAGTTTAAAGATGTTGTTAACGGCAAGCGTGAGAATAGATGAGACTGACCAAAGCCAGAGCATGGAGAGAAGAGCTCTGAATGGAAAGAGGAGACTGAGAAGCAGAGCTAAAACAGCAGCAACTATTTGAAAATCAAGGACTGTGAGATGGGAGGGAAAAGGCAACAACTGTTTTTCAATTCAACAAATAGTTATTGAGCATTCCATGTGAATGGGCATCAATAAATAAGAACAGCAAGGAAATGCTTTACTATAGTTTTCCAGATTACATCCCAAATTTTCCTTATTCCTTATCAAGAGTAGAAAAATCCCAAAGCTAGTAATACTTATTAGTAATGATAATTGACTTAATGTTTGTAATTTAATATTAGTTATTATATTCTATTTTTATTTTTAAAAATCTAGTTTAGAAATAAAATATGCTACATTATTAGCCATCTTTTTGTAATGTAGGGTGAGTAAATTAATCTAAACTAGGTCATACTATTAGATTACAAACTCATTAAGAAAAAAATATTTTAGTAGCTAATATAATATCTTGAAACTAGTAGGCACTCAGACTCTTGTAAATTGAATTAAATGTGCTCAGTTTTTAGACAGCTATAATATATGGCTCTATATATGTTTAATAGTTTTGGGGTTGCATATGTTTTTATTAGCAGTAAAGTATAATAATTCCTATAACATCAATCCCCTTAGATTGTAAATTCCTCAGGGGCATTCAATCTTTTACTTCTTTTTAGAATTCTGAAGATCCTGGCATGTCAACATAGGTTGCTAAGTGATTTTCTGAATTTATCTTCATCACAGGAGTGATAC